GTCGACTCTGAGGATCCCCGGCATTCTGCCTACACTATTGGAGCTTGTTATTGTTGCTCTCACTATTGCGATATCCCCCCCAGACCCCCCCTTCAAAGGCCTTACGGTGTGCTGTAAACAATTCTTCGCCTAAATGTCTGGGGCATTGCGTCTGCGGAGTTTCTGAGCCGTTTGCTTTGGTCAATGAACGAATGCCCCGTTGACCTAAGTTGAATGCAACAGCGGGCCGTCTGATGGTGATATCATGAAATATCTTATATATAAATAGTGTATAAGCTCCAAATGGTCAGCTTATATGTGCAGAAGGCATTTGGGGCGACTTATGGCCGAAGTAATGAACCAGTACACCAACTGACCCAACGATTCCATTTCGTCCAGGCTCAGGCCCCCATTTATTCCCAAAAAAGTAATATATTACCGAAAGAAACTGCTTACAGGTTAGGAATACTTTTATTCCCGCGACTAAAAACCTATTCCTCCGTTCGGACTAGAAAATTGACGGGCGAAAATGACAAGTCGGGTGTCGGCTTCCTCGAAGCCGGAAAAAGGGCGGGCCCCCCCTGCATCCGTACAGGCCGGTAGCTAGCGCGGCACGTGTGACAATTGATGGGTAGTGTCAACGCGGTGGGAGATGTGCTTTGTTGGAGCAGTGCTGATGGTGTGAGAGCTAAGCTTGCACCGGCGGAATCGTCAGCACCGCCTGCGGGCTCGACGCGAATCGCATCCATCCTGGGTGCATGCAGCATGGACAGTGCGGCAGACCGCAAGTCGGAATGCCCGTGCGGGCAAATGGTAACGAAAGCTGGGTGAATTTCGGTGCTGTCTGTGATGTTTATCCCCGAAGCGCCAGCGGCCTCAGCAATCTGCCCCACAGCCGCGGGCTTCATCGGGGCACACCGCAAGTCTCCGGAGGCCCCGAGCATTGGCTAAAGTAAATACAAATGAGCAGCTTGCGTATTTCATAGAGAAATGTAAGCAAATTTGTCGGCCTGCTGGTGGCAAGTCGGAATGCCCGTGCGGGCAAATGGTAACACAAGCTGGGTGTTCAAGTTATCATACGCTGTCATCTCGGAAAGCAATGATGAGATACACGGCACCTTTTTGAGATGAAATTTAGCCCGAGAGGCGTTGATGTGACTATGAGCTCGGTCAATGGAGGCAGCCAAAGTTGTTTGTGCTCATACGATCTTTGTTAGCTACATGCGAGATACCTTGCAATAGAGAATGCTATATAGTACCGATAACGCGTTTCAGCCGGGTGAAATATTATGTTTGGTCCGTTACACACTCAAGGCCTGGGAGTTCGAGTTATCATACGCCGTCATCTAAAAATTCAAATATGAGATACGCGGTACCGTTTGAGATTAAATTTAGCCCGAGAGGCATTGATGTGACTTTGGCCTCGGTCAATTGAGGCAGCCAAAGTTGTTTGTGCTCATACGATTTTTGTTGGCTACAGGCGAGATACCTTGCGATAGAGAATGATAAATAGTACCTACAACGCGTTTCAGCCGGGCGAGATATTATGTTTGGTCCGTTACACACGCACACACGCACACACACACACACGGACATGGGCAATCCTACAGGTCGGGGCCCCCCTGGGCGCTTCGCGCTGGGGCCCCGCCCAAAAAAAACTGATCACGCGCGAGGGTGATGTGAGTCCCTTGAATTCCGGGTGGATGCCGGTACGACGGCCAGATTTGGACATCACCTCCGAGAGTCTCCAGAAGGCTCCAGAGGTATCAGCTTACTAAACACATTTCAGAGGCGTGGATCACCAAAGCGCCGGCTGGTGAAGGTGAAAGCGCGACAGCAGGCAGCACTGTGGTTGTTTGGTGCGGCCCCTTGAAGATATTAAACTTTGCGTAGTTTTGTGCATAAAAACGTCGTCTCATCCCATAAGTGAAATGCTATAAGTAATAGCGGTATCTTGCTACATACCTTGCAAATAGAGATGAGGCAACGTTATACAGAACGGAAACGCTAATCGAATCGCAGGGGAAGCACGGGAAGCCGCCGCGATCGCGCAGGTGACATGTTCGATTCGCACGACGCATGTCAACTGCATGTTTAAGAAGCACGGCATTGCATAGATCGAAACATAGCGCAAGAAGTGTAGTCCCACTTCCCCATTTTACATTGAGATAAGCTACCCAGGCTTTCGACATTTAAATCCCGTTTCCTTAGCTTCCTTAGTCCTTCCTATTAAGTACTGCTGGGCTTGTAACTATATATATACCCTTGTGACTGTGACCCATGAACAAGATTGATTTGTTGAAATCAAAATCTATCTGCCATATAATAGAAACCTTTCCTGGAAGCAAACCTGCAGCCGGCAGGCCTACAGGCAGAAGCAGGCCGGGGATAGCATTTCAATTTCAGTATAACCAATTCAAGTTCGCTTTCTTGGTACTGCTGTCGAAACGATGAATCTTGTATTGATGGTACATGGCCTTCTCACTTTTGTAATCGGTAAGCAAGGCATTATTGTCCCTGCTGTGATGCCAAATAAGTCCCTAGCAGATCTGCTAGAGGGATGCAATAGGGGTCGAGTTTTCACATTCTTGGGTATTCCTCGGTCATTTAGGACTGATGTAATGGAATAATGCAAATGGCGGCAATGAGTATATCACTGACCGGTGATCAGCATCTTCCGGTGGAAAACATCCAAGCTGTCCGGATCTCCCAGCCGCGACCACCTCCACCCCCATTTTGCATCTAACCCTATTATATCCCGCCGTCCCTAAGAAGTGGGGGACAGCGTTCCTTATCACTACGGATGCCCAGGTTGATTGTTCCATTATTGCATATAGAACAGGCGGACATATAACACAAAGTAATAATTTCCTGCGGAGTGTAGTAGCTGGCCGCTGAAAAGGCCTCTCCAGATGCTGGTGGAGCGCTTAGCGTGTATTTGTAGTTGTTCACGGTGCCGTACTGTGTACCGGCTACCACACGGAGCAGCAACTGTTGCTGGGCTCGCTGTACGGCGTCAGCAGCAGTAACAATGGGTCCATGCGGTAACGGTCAACTTTTCACCGTCTTTCCAGTGGATCCCCCCCCTGTCCGCATTTCCGTGACCAACACCCATTTCGCATCTAACCCTATTGCATCCCTGCCTCCTTAATAACGTATAAGTCAGCTTCATGTCCCGAGCTAGCCTATAGCATCAAGGATGAATTTCCGTGTGCCTCATTCTCGTCATGATTAAGCAACGGTCGCGCACCTCTGCTGCACTGTGTCACCACTCGCTGTCGGCTTGCTTACCCTAAGGACGGAGGAAGCACCTGCCGCTAGCTAGGTACTTTAATTTCCGCACATCTTTTTGCATATGCTGAACTGCCATACGCTGGAATGCACACCATCTCAGTAATGATATACATGGCCGTATTTGTGCATATCCTTAATTCGCCTATAATACTCGTTGTCCCCGCCTTGAACCGCATGCATGCTCCGTTTGCCTGACTGCAGCACTGGTGACTGTGATGGCGGCGCCAACCAGCATCGTGGGAAATGAATTACGGAAGCAGATTGCGGGAGAGCTGGTTTACATCACGTTGGACAATGTGGATCAGTGGTTGATTCGCGACAGCAACGGCGTGCTGATACCGCTCATGGGCGGCTACAAACCACCCAAAACGGACTCGCAAGGCATACCTGTATCTCCTGGATCCGCCGTACAGTTGGTGAGTGACAAGTGGCTCCTTGGGTGATTGGCTTGCTATCCTTGGCTTGCTATGCTTTGACTCGTGAATGTGGTATGTATAGCTTCAATCCGCACAAAATCGAGTTCAGACACGTCTTGACTCGTGCACCTCTGCATGATACACCTTGCGGGTCGGACTTAGGTGAGGGATAAACGTATGTGGGCTCACCGCAACTCAATTGTGCCCGTTGGGCGCTAGTTTTCTCTTTTCTGTTAGTGAGGTGCTCCGTTTTGGTGGCTTTTAGGTGTTCAGGTCTTGCCCTTGGGCCTTCGGCTCTACAGGTATGGGGTCACACACACCCCTAACCATGTAACACACACACACACACACACACGCATGCACGCACACACACACACACATATCCCACCAGTTAAGGCGCTCTGCAGACTGTTAGCTAGCCCCCATCATCATGTAGCTGTGGCAGCATGCACATGTGTGCTGACTGGATCCTGGCATGTTTTAAGGTGCAGAGTGTGGGACCGGCGGCACAGCAATGATCTACTGATTACAGGCATGACCGCACCGCCATGTAATAGTTGTCATGCACGTGCATGTACAAGTTGATGAGCTGGACATAGACAGCTACAGAGCTCCGGTCCATGCATGTGTAGGTGAACATACGCAATCGTTTTGGCCTGCATGCATGGTACTAGCTACCAGGACTACGGAACAATGAAGACATCATATTAGGACTCGCCGGATTCTTAATGCGTACTTAGGGCTGGTAGCGGACTGCATGCATGTGCAACGTGTGCGTGCGTGTACACATTATGATTTTGTGCATACAAGAGTCACAGAGACACATGCATAGCAGCAGGCACATATTACCAGGTCATGACTGCGAATATTGCACCATCCCTTCGTTATGCATGTCATGCATGGCTCTCTGTACCCACCCATGTATGCCTGGGGACTTGCATGCGTATATCCTGGTGGCCTTACATTTGCTTGGCCTGACGCTAACACTGCGATAGCGATTGCGGTTCACTGTTTCCTTCCTCGCTACCGTTGGCGGTGTCGTCCCCGTGGTGTTTCCTGTTAGTGTCTGTGCAAGAATTGGTCTTCCCATCACATCCCATCGCAGGATTGCATCTTCACCGAAGCCACTGGCGAGTGTACTCCTGATGACTTGACAACCTTTACCGTCATCTCATATGCACCCGCACCGTCAACACTCGAGAAAACCATATTCCAGAGCCTCCTGGTCATGGTTCTCGACTACCCAGATTGCGGCTTCCCCGCTACCACCACAGAGGAAGAAATCCGGACCATCTACCTGGGCCCAAATGGGGATGGCAAGGGGGGCCTTGCTGAAAAGTACACGCAGTGCTCCTACGGGAAGTTCAACCTTAACATAACTGCCTTCCGGGCTGTGCGTGTGACGCACCAGTGTTCGACACCTATCACGACTACCTGTGCCGCCTGGGCAATGTCCATCCTGGCGGATGCAGCCACCAAAGCCCTCATCGGCCCTGCAGCCTTCTCATCCTTCAGCCACTACACCTACATAGTGCCACCGGGCCTTCAACCAGTGTGCCCCTGGTCAGGGCTGGCAATATTGCCAGGCCGGCAGACCTACCTGCAGACATCAGCCAATGGAGTGTACAGATGGGCAACAGTAATGCAGGAGGCCATACACAACTATGGTATGTAAGCACGGTCTGGGCAGGTGTTTATTTATACCCCCTAACATGGCGCCCTATGAAATTCATGATGCATCCATGCATGTGCACAGGGCTATGGCACTCTTGGCAAAACGGCACAGAGTACGACGACTACTCCACAGCTATGGGCCGTGGTGACGCGTGCCCCAACGCTGCGGAGATCTCCCGCATGGGCTGGGCCACACCTGCGGTCGGAGGTGACCAGCTGAACAGCAGTGCCTTGCTGCCAGGCACAGCTCGGACCTTTACACTGCCTGCCACCTACCTGACTGGCAACAACAACTACCTGCGGGTGACTCCCGATTGGCTACCTGTCTACAACAATACATTAATGGGTCGAAACCTTTACATCGCCGTCCGTGTTGCCAAGAATGTTGATTCCGGCCTAAGCAACACCATATATGCATCCAAGGTCAACATCCACGAAGTAAATGCAACCATGGTGAGGGCTTCCATGCCTCCGTAATGTACATAACTCCCTTAAGAGAGCATGGTTCCAGGGGTTAACAGATCTGCTATTGCTTTATTACTGTTTAGGCGTTCAATAAGCGTGCTTGGATTTTATCCTTAACTGTACCATCGACATACATTCCTGCAGGACAATGGCTACCCCGCGACCTTCACAAACAGCGACCGCAAAATCCAGTTCATCAACACCGTCGATCCCATGTCGCAGTTGGCAATGGGCGCCTATCAGTTGGTCGTGTATGGGGGCTCCTGGGTCGGTACGGACACCCTGAGGGTGCACCTCTGCCGCTTCTTGACCTCACCCTCAGAGTGCCCTTCCCTAAGCACCCTGGAAGTCCAGCCACCGCCGCCTACCCCTTCACCGCGTCCCCCCAGCCCGTCAGCAACCTCTAGGATGCCGCCTCCTAGGCCATCCCCTTCACCACGTAGTTTGTCTCCGCCGCCACGCAGCCCAGTGCCCACACCACGATTCCCGTCATCGAAACCGGTTCCCGCCCTGATGGCGCCGGCAGTAGGTAAGTGGGTTGTTGTTTCGTGGAAACCTCGACCACGTATACAAAACCAGGGGTGAGGACGTGCTTCAAGGTTACTAGTTTAGGCAGAGGCGGCCAACGCGAGCGAGCTCATGAGCTTTAATTTATTCCTGATCAGGAATAAATTAAACCATGTGCACTCACCGTTACTTGATTGTTGGTTTGCACCCTCAAATGTCGAAGTGCAGGAATTGCGGTAGGTACATACACCTGCAATAATATGCTTACAGCTTAGTAGCCTAGCTTTTGTCCATCGTCTTCCGCCCTTTTGTTGATTTGAGTACCCTACACCCGTGCAAATGCTTGGATAAAGCCGTCCAGCAGCAGACAAACAAGATGACTCTTACATTACTCTACCCTGCAATGCGTGACTGCGTATCTACCGGCTTTCTTCCCATGATCAGCACCATTAGCATTCCAGTCGGCATACCCGTGTGCCGAAACAGCTAGCTGTTCCTCCCTGGCTGTTACCTTCCTCACTCCTTGCCGGCCATAACCCGTCCATAACCCTACTTACCGTGCATCCGGCATGCATCTTGTGATCATGGTACAACATTTAAAGCGCGACCTCATAACCTGCTCTCAAGACCGCTGCGCAAGCAAGCTACATGAGCCAAATCGCTGACTATTCCCATTGCTCGCGTGCTCGTGTGTCATTGTGGCCCCCTCCCCGAACCCACGCCTGTCTTCCTCCCGCCCAGCCGCCAATTGTTCCAATAAGGATTCTGCCTGCCAGAAATGTTATAACAACACCGAATATCCTACGCTGGAACCAGACGCCTGCCGCCTGTGCGTGTCGACGACGTGGTTCTCCTCACCTTGCTACCAATGCGGTAAAGCACCCAATAAAGTCATGCAGAAAGCCTGCCTTACGGAATGCGTTCCGTATGTATCGGGAGGTGAGACAGCTGTAGTAGCTGGCCGCTGAAAAGGCCTCTCGAGATGCTGGTGTTAGCACTTAGCGCGTATTTGTAGTTGTTCATGGTGCCGTACTGTGTACCGGCTACTACAACACCATGTATGTCACATCTATTCCACAGAGATCGTACATTTGTCGATTAGAAACGGCTTGACATACTGTGCTCAACTCGGTCGCTCGCCAAACTACTGATGGGGTTGGATAGCAGCAGCATGTTGATATGGAGACTGCGTCCTTAGTTCATGCCATGTGTTAATTATTGCGAATGCCAACAAGCCGCAGCCACAGCCACACATTGTTTGGATTGTTATCTACGTAAGCATTACATACCGGCCGTTGATCTTCTTTGCTGATGGACACGCACATTATTTCTGCAATCTTTCCTGCCTCCATCCCCGCATAGCCAATTCTGTTGTTCGCCCATTTGACATGCAATTAACCAAACAATATTTCGCGGTCCAAATATTCTCATCTACCCGGCGCCTCCTCCCACGCAGCCGCATGCACGGATTATTGCCTGGACCCCTCTCTTGTCGGAACCAACGTCACTAAGTACCGTGACTGCATCGCCTGTGCCAAAGGGTCGCAACTGTCCTTCGCCTGCAAGACCTGCATGGAAGTAGGTTGCGTGCGCTGTTGTTGAAGGATGCGCTGATGTATGTGAACGCTTGACATCATGATGACCTCCTGGAGCGAAAGCGGGCGTGCGCACAGCACATGCATGCGTGGATTAAATTGGTGGGGAATATTAGCTAGGAAACTAATCCTAATCACCCACGCATCCGTATCAGTGTAGCCATCCACACTTACCACTGTATGATGTTGTTACAGGGTAGTATAGCTTCACCAGTGGCCCCCTTTCCCGAGGCAGCTCCCTGCTCTCCCCTGCGAGAGGGGCACCCTAATCCATTCACCCCATTGGACTTCAGAACAACTCAACTTCAGAGCAACTCACCACCACCATCCAATTAAAACTAGCGTATCAACGGCGCCACAACTCAGTAACTGACCAGCTCGCAAATTGATACAATCGCGTCCTATACCCTCCTCAAGATGGGGGACCACCTCCCAAATCATCACCCCGCACACATCGATGGGTCGGCAGGATTTGAAGCCGGAACCTCCGGGAGCAGCAGTCAGGCCTTAACTTCTGCCAGCCACCTGCCACCTGCCACTGTGTGTATGCTGTCCTTACCACTCATGTTATCCACACGCATGGACGTCTGAGTGCACTATTTCTGCTAAGCCATTCACTCAACGTCTCAACGTCTATCAAGCCATCCAGCCACGCTCTGCATCGCATCTATCCAATAGTGAGAATGTCGTCGCCCTGCTGGGTGCAACACGCACACACACGCATACACACACATACACACACACACATACGCACACACACGCACACGCACACACACCGTCAGGCCTGGTCAGGTACTTGTAGCCTTCTCGCACACGCACACGCACACGCACACGCACACGCACACGCACACGCACACGCACACGCACACGCACACGCACACGCACACGCACACGCACACGCACACGCACACGCACACGCACACGCACACGCACACGCACACGCACACGCACACGCACACGCACACGCACACGCACACGCACACGCACACGCACACGCACACGCACACGCACACGCACACGCACACGCACACGCACACGCACACGCACACGCACACGCACACGCACACGCACACGCACACGCACACGCACACGCACACGCACACGCACACGCACACGCACACGCACACGCACACGCACACGCACACGCACACGCACACGCACACACACACGCACATGCACACGCACACGCACACGCACACGCACACGCACACGCACATGCACACGTGCAAGCTTGGAGACTGTGCATGTGCTCACTCTTATTCCGGGTAGTTGCCCACTTAATAACCTCTTCATCCCTGGCTGCCCTCTCACAACAAAGCACAACACAAGTTTGCTACTTTTCTGCACGGCCGTTTCGCCTGTACTTGAACATGAAATGACATCACATAACCGTGTTCGCCACACACACCTACACGTAGTTAAATTATTAGCACTAGCAGCTGTAGCAGCAGTTGCGGCAATGCCACTACTAATCTAGCCACAAGCATTAACAACAACACAACCGCGCGCATTCCAATCCTCAACATGGCATGCGCTTCTTCGGAACGCCTCTCCCCTCCCAAAACTCCTTCGCCCTTCTGTCCATAGTAATAAGTAGGATAAGTAATAATAGCAGAATAAGCGGAATGATAGCAGAATAAGCAGGATAAGTAATCAGAAACCCATTTCCTTTGCTGTTGTTATTTTCGTTCCATCCGTCCTGTCTCTCGACAAGGAACCATATGCATGCAAGTTACACAATGCTCTATCTGTTGCGGCTCTACATATGTCTACATACATCCGCGCCTTCATCACATGCATATGCAGGTGACTGCCCCGCTGTCCGACGCCGACGCGGCTCGCACCACCTGCTTCAAGTGCCTCACGACCTGGAGCCTGTTCTGGTGGCATTGTACTTCTTGTGCGTCCAAGCCCACCCCTGCTGAACGGGACAGTTGCATAAACGCCAGCTGGAGTTGGAGTGGGCGACGACTGCTGACTGGGGGTACGATACAGACAACATCAGCAGGAGCGAAAGGAATCTAAACTCAAGGGCAAAATGAAAGCCCGGATGACGGCGGCGTGAGGGAGAACTTACAAACATGGCAGGATTAGCGGCCTTGTCCATCGATATCGACGTATTTGGCTTCCCAGCCGCTGCAAATTATAGAAGAGTTCAGGCTCAGAATAATTTTTCTATAGCTTACTTTATTTATGGCACCATATTTATTTTTCATTTATGGCACCACTAGTTTGTTTATTTATGGCACCATGTGCTTAGTCGCGTCATATATAGCTCCACACCTTGAAAGATTTCAGGATTGAACTCGGCATAGGACGGATTAATTATTCCTCTCGACCGCTTAAAACGGATGCACGTGCATCCCCATGCCAATGGACTGTACCACCGGTGATAGACCCGGTTATCGCTAGTGACCTGTTGTGCTGATGGTAGGTATCCAAAAATGTTTTGATTTGCAGAAGTCCGCATGGATGAGAGGCCCCCGAAACATGGGGGCGCCCCGGAACATCGGGATAGGTAGATAGAGACTGCCAGGTTGGTGGCCACGGATGAAGTTGTCATTCCCCCTACGTCACAATCATATAACAGGTTTACTTAGGTTTACTTAGGTTTACTTAGCTAGAGATGTCAACAGTTACGGCTATCAGGCCAGGTAGTACCTGCCAAAGATAGCGCTCGCTATCTGGGCTTGGTATATGGGCCAGAATGGCCTTTTAGTGCGTGCCGTCAGCAGTTGTGTGATACAGGTCGGTCCGCTATGTTTTCCTTAAGCGCAAAGCTGGACAAAATGAAGCTGTTTGCCCCCGATGTGTGAATGCGGTGTTTTGCAACCCAAGTCCGAGCAATTCTGTTGTATGGCTGCCAGGCGTGGGGCCCTTTTGCGCTGGCAGAGGTCGTGGACAGGGTGGGAAGGCGGCGGGATAAAGCCAACCTTGCGGAGGGCATGTTCGAAGCCTGTTTGAAGGATAGTGCAGTCCAGCTGCAGATTTTATTCATGAGGCAGGTAGTGGGGACGGCACGGCCATCCCACAGGCTGTTGTACGCCGAGCTGGCTGAACTCCCCTTACAATATTACATGGTGAAGCAGATCCTCCGTTTCTGGAACCGCCTTCAAAAGCAAGTGGGATCCATTGCTCATGCCGTTTTACGGCGGGAGATAACCGATGCCCTGACCAACCCGGAATGGGAGGGTTGGGGAATCTCAATGTTACGACTGTTTTCCTTCTTGGAGTGCAACATTTGGAGCGGAATACCGCAAGAAGTCGTGGGGGTAAAGGAGCGTGTTGACTGGTTGCTGAGTAGACCTCTTCCCGAAGGAGCGATGATAACGGCACTAAGAGAGCGTTTGATGAGCGGCTGGGACCATACGCGTCTGACTGTCTTGCCAGAGGAGTACCCATCAGATGGGAAGCAACCGGGAGCGCAAATGGCGAAGTATAAGCACTGGATGGGGCTGCCCTTTTCGGGAGCCGCAGCCGTCATGTGGCCAACACATGCTAAGGTTTTCATTCCTCGTTTAGCACATCGTAAGCTAATGCACTTTCGTTTATGTTGCTGGGCTTTGGAGGCGAACAGAGCACGAAGGGGCAAGTACCATGTCCCCAGGGGGCAGCGGTTTTGCCACTGTTGTGGTACTAATAGCCGAATTGAGGATGAAAAACACGTGTTATTGGAATGCCCAGCCTATAATGACATTCGTGCTGAAGAGGGATTCGATCATCAACAGAGCATGTTGGAGGCCATGCAATGGGAACCCACACGTCTGGCGAGGATGTTGGAACGTATGTGGGCTCACCGAAACTCAATTACCCCCTTTGGACGCTAGTCTGGGCTGATGTGCGGTGTTTTTCCTTTTCTCCGTGGCTTTTAGGCGTTGTAGTATTGCCCTTGGGCCTTCGGCTCGTATGGGTAGTCTTACAGGTATGGGGTCACGCACCCCCCAACCATGTAACACAAACACACACACACACACATATAGCAGGTTTGCCATGCCGCCGCACCATTTATCCACCAGACAAGTATGCACTACCTCCATTATTCATGCACTTTTATATATGTCGTTTCATATCTATTGCAGCAGCATGTCCTACGTTGCCTTCGCTGCTTGCTTGGAGCGCGAGGCTGACAGGGAGCAAGACACCCTACCACCCGCATCCAACGGAATCTGCCGGGACGACAGCGGCCCAACTCCATTCCTGGCAGGCTCGCAGGTCGCAGGTTAACTTTGTCCCAGGTCACCACCGTCCATCATTATTGGGCGCAATACCTTCCACCATCGGAAGGTTTTTTGACCCTAACGGATATCGATCCCGGGATCTCCCGGGGGCAATGTTCGCGCGTTACCAGTAGTGCCAAACCCTAGGATGTATATATGTATATTGTATGTTGTTACGGTATAGCTTGACCAGCGGCCCCCTTTCCCGAGGCAGTTCCCTGCTCTCCCCTGCGAGAGGGGCACCCTAATCCATTCACCCCATCCGACTTCAGAATGCATTCGGTGGGTTCAGCAACTCACACCTGCATCCAACCAAATCTAGCGGATCTATGGCGCCTCAACTTTGTTCCTGGTCATCTCGCAAGTTGATATAATCACGTCCTACATCGTCCACTTGATGGGGGGCCATCTCCCATTTCACCACTCCTCACACACCCGAGGGGGCAGCAGGCGGATTTGGCGGATCAGTATGCATGTCCGTCGGCTTTGCTTGGGTATGCATAGAACCGCGGGTATCCGCCTGATGTCATGTGCATAACAAGTACAAGTTTGATACCCGCACAGTTGCTAGTTGATCAGCGATTGGTGGGGACTTGCGCAGGTGGTCGGTGTCAAGGCATTGATCGTTATGAGGGTAGAGATGGGCGGCAATAAGGTAACATCTTATATCGTGCTGCAGGTGCGGCTTTCGATAATCTTATATCCGGTATGCATGTATGTATGTGTGTATGTGCATACGTACGAAGATATGTGCAATTTCAATGCTGGAAGCTTCCCCTCGTTCCAGGCGAGTCCCTGGTTGCAGGTCAAGCCATGCATGTATCATGTGAATGGCCGGCCGCTTTTCAACGATACAAGGTCGTACGTACGTACAGGCTTATTACACCGTGCTGTATCCTGGGCATATCACGGGATCTGGCATCTGCTGATCGGTACTTTTCTGAAGTCGTGATACAACAGATCGACGGCGGGTGCTTTACATCTGCATCCTCACGCATTTTCCACGTATGTTTGGATAGACGACAGTTTGGCTGCTGCTGCTCGCATGCTGATTTGGCTTTATTGGTTTAGCGGATTGCGAAAACCATCATGCATTTACCTTATTACTGCTGCAGGCAGGCAATCAATTCTCCACCGAGCTACCAACTTATTCCACCTAACCTTCTTGTGCCCAGCAGCAATCGGTGGACTTTTTGGAATCCACGTGCCAAGCATCTACCCGACAGCTGCAGCAGCAGCTACGAGTCGGCAGCAGGCGGATGGCCACGGTAGCTGCTGTAACGTCGATGCATGCAACCATGTAAGTATATGCTGTCTCTGCTTCAAGATACTTGGCCGCGCTCACTTACAGGTAGCTGAGCGCTCTGGCACTTACGTTGTAGTAGATTGCATTTCGGCGGCAGCTGCTGCCTCACGACGTTGGTTCTAGTTTCTTAGGCCCGGAACGGAGCCAGTTTTAAATCACAAATATATTTTTGAGATTTCGTGCAAAATAATCCTTCTTGAAAATGTTGGGGATGGGAAGACAGACTAGCTACCGGTACGGTGCAAAACTGATGTCTGTGCGGTTATGTGTGTGTTAAAAACCTGAAGGTAGACAATTATTACTTGCTTAACTGGGGCTCAAAATGTTCAAACATCGTTGTTCGGTTTCGCTGCCTTTCCTTCAAGCATCCAGGCTCCAGCATCCTTCACTACTGCGTGTCTGCAGCTACAGACACGCGCCGTTTTTGACCATGAAGCATGAAGGAACTTAACACTAAGGTTTAATGTCCTGCGACTTCAATTGAGTCATTCTACTTCATGCCCACCTTAACGCCGTACATTTTGCTTAGCCGTATGTCCCACAGTTTCGTTGCAATGAAATTCTGAAATGGTATTTGAAAGGAAGAATTCATAAGACTTAATCATTTGTCTTGATTAATCATTTGTCTTGATCATTTGTCTTGATTTGTCTTGGATTGCGTCATAACGTGATCACGTAAGCCGCTGCTTGGCCGCTACATCAATGCCCAATTGCGCAGGATTAGTGAGTATTATGTATTGATTGTACCACAATTTATCAAATGATAAAAAACTTGTTAATCGCGGTGGCGCTCATCACGGCCGCGGAAGGTGAGGACCATGTTAACTGTAAGCAACGAAGGCCACAACCGAGAAGTACGCAGTAGGTTTAACAATATTTGTTGTAAACACATTATGCAAAAGCTAGTAATGGGGTGCCTTGAGGACAGTAATGACGGACACCGGCAGTCCAACGAATCGCTTAATAAGTTGCATGCTGTATGCTCCACCGAAGGCGTCTGCCTGAAAGCAAAAGTGCATGATTGATCTTGTAGTCTAGCCCACATTTACCGTTACCGCTATCATTGCCAACCCTGACTATCCCCAAGCGCGGCGGATGAACCAGACCTGCACTGCGCTCATCGCATTTGCCGCGAAGCAAACACAGTAAAAGTATTCCTAAGGAAGTATATCCGCTGTACGAAATACTTTGTATACCTACCTGCATCCGCGGTCATTACGAACACGTATCCGCCCTGCTAAATAATAATAATGATAACGCCCTCTATCGGCTGCTGCTTCATGCAGTGGGGTACTGTAAGGTCGTGCCAGGCACGATCACCGCAAATGTAACCAGGGAGCAACTCACGGGAGAGCTTTATTTCGTTACACTGGAGCAGTCCACGACCCAGTGGGTGATCCACAACAGCAGTAATGGGGTGCTGGTGCCGCTCGCCGGGGGTTACAAACCGCCTGACACGGATGCCACGGGGAAACGCGTTTTTCCCGGCTCTGAGATAAAGCTGGTGAGTCATGCCAGTTACTGGGCGAGCGGAGCTGGCGCTTGCTGTACGGCCGTTGCCTGCAATCAAGGTGTACATCAGCATACAAAAAAACACTTGTATGACTGGAAGTAAATAGGATGCTGAGGCTTATTATTAAGCTTGTAGTAAGCGTGGAATGATGGCATGCAAGCATGCCTGGCTGCATGCTTTTTTGCATATGTATGTGAATGTGTGTACCTAGCCTCTACCTGCCCAGCACTTAAGAGGGCCGCTAGGGGCCTTGTAGTTACAGCTACAAAGGCGATACTTCAGCCTTCCTGGCGCCCACGGGCCGGTTCGCCGTCCCAAGAAAATTTCTGTACATAAGCATTTTCCGTACACAGTGGTCCTTATCCCAAAGCTGGAGAGTAATCGGAAGGGACTGTACAGTCACGCTTTGGAGAGGCCAGATGCCAATATACCGCCATCGTCGCTAGAGAGGCAGGCATGCCCCAAACTCATTGCAATGCACTCTTTTGTCAGGGGGCCTCTACTCTGGCTGGTGCTGGCGTTGTCCCATTTCAGTCCAAATAGACTCGGCGGACATGAAGGGGAGAACTACACACACAGGGCTGTATGCACAACACAGTGCAGCCCTGAAATGCTGCCTTTAGTCGTTGGCTCAATGAGCAGTAGAGCGGGCGACAAGGAGCTACAGTTCGTCTGCAGTGAAGCAAATGCATAGGACAGAGCAGAGAGTGAAAGCTACCCATGGGTGATCTATCCTCTGCATTACTACACCCTGCTACAATATCTTCTGTGGCTTCAAGTGGTTATGGTAACAGCTGATTGACTGTTCTGCATTATTACCTATGCTGCTGCCTGATGGCAATAATTCTGCCTCCTGCATGTGGATGTGTTGCGTGACATGTCCTTTACTTGGCATGGCTCCTTCTGTTGCCTGTCTAACTGCTACCTCCCATGACACTCATCCTTATGCATGCATTGCTTCCCGCAGGACTGTCTCTACAATGCAGTCACAGGCGAATGCACACCCGACAATTTGAGCGTCCTGACCGTCGTCAAGCTCCTTGTGGCCCAGGCAATCACCCCCGGCACCATCACATCCCAGGACCTCCTGGTCATGATTGTGGACTACCCGTTGTGTGGCATGCCAGCAAACCTCACCGAGGGGGATGTCCGCAAACTGTACCTGGGCCCCAATGAGGATGGCAATGGGGGCCTGGCACAAAAGTATGCGCAATGCTCATACGGAAGGTTCATCCTTAACACTACCACATTTCGGGCGGTACGTGTGCCCCACGTATGCTCGACACCCATTACAAGCTCTTGCTCCTCTTTTGCAATGCAAATCCTAGCAGACACGGCTACTAAGAACCTTATCGGACTTGCAGCCTTTTCTTCATTCAAATACTTCACCTATATATTGCCTCCAGCAATGCAGCAAGTGTGTTCCTGGGCAGGCCTGGCGACACTGCCAGGCCGGTATACATGGCTGCAGACGTCACCCTACGGGATATACAGATGGGCAACAATCATGCAAGAAGGCATCCACAACTATGGTCAGTAGATTGTTTAGCCGTTCATGCCATCAATTGTTATCACTTGCTTATCAATATTCATATATGTCATGATCTATGTATAGATGGTATGATTTGGTGTGTGTTATCCCTTGCTACCTTACTTGCTGTTGCAGTCTGTTACATTTGCACATGCACATACAGGCACCCACACATAGAAACTGCATGCCGTGCCGAGACTACTGCATCGTTTGCATAGGAATGGCTGCTACTGCTTCTATGAAGTGTCGAGTATGACAGTACTACCAATCAAGTGGCTGTGGCATTTCTAAAGCTGTGTGGCTAATAATAACAGACAGCAGGCAGGAAAATGGATTGGCAACCAACCGTCATGCTTACGCGTCATGCTGCAGCCTCACTTCTCACTGCACAATGCGCTTGTGCAGGCCTCTGGCACTCGTATCGTAATGGTATCGAGTATGATGACTACTCCACATCTATGGGCCGAGGTGACACCTGTCCCAATGCTCCGGAGATCTCCCGCATGGGCTGGGCCACACCCGCGCTCAGTGGCAACCAAATAGATGGGAACATTTTGGTGCCAGGCACAGCTCTGTCCTTCACGCTGCCTGCCACCTACCTGACTGGTGATAACAACTACATCCGTGTGACACCCAACTGGCTGCCCGTATACGTGGACCCCTCCCTGGGCCGAAACTTATACATGGCTGTCCGCGTGAATAAGAGTGGAGATGCCAGTCTGAAGGAAGAGTTTTCGAACAAGGTCAACATACACGAAGTGATTGCGCTCTTGGTGAGTGGTTGTTGCAATCTCTCTTGTTAATTGGAGTGGAGGATAAATCGTGAGGCAACACAGTGGGTGGCCTGGATGGAGGTCGGCTCTGCAATCAAAGTAGACGAGTAAATCCCGGTGGTAGGTCATCCCCTGGAGCTTTTACTGGGTACTTGTGCTGCTCGCCTGCTGCATGATTGCAGCAATTAGGCTACCCTCAATATTGCAATGCCACTGCAGCTTGGATAGCTGTAATTTAGATGGCCTTTGCAGTAGGATGCATTACAACTGAAGGAGGATTGTTTGATCACACGCAGATTGTTTAAGTGTACCTGGCTCTGCCAGCTGGCAGCTAGCTTTTGGTTACGATTTGACGCCAGAGCCTGAACCATCTTGTTTAAAAAGCGTTGTGCTCTGCCTGCAGGACAACGGCTTACCAAACCTCTATGCAAACAGCGACCGCAAAATCCAGTTCATCAATGCTGTCGGTCCGCTGTCTCAGCTGACACTGTCAGATTATAAGTTGGTCGTGTATGGGGGATCCTGGAATGCAACGGATGTTCTAAGGGTGCACCTCTGCCGGTTCGTGGCCTCACCCTCAGAGTGCCCTTCCCTCAGCACCCTGGAACCCCAGCCACCACCTGCACCTCCCCCACGCCCACCACCACCGGTGCCACCATCCCCACGTCCACCGCCACGAAGCCCACCTCCCCCACGTTCACCACCGCCAAGCCCACCTTCCGTGCTTCGGCCGCCGCCCCCCAGCCCCCCGCCGCCCAGTTCACCACCACCCAGCCCACCACCACCTAGCCCACCACCACCCAGCCCACCACCACCCAGCCCACCACCACCCAGCCCACCACCACCCAGCCCACCACCACCCAGCCCGCCACCACCCAGCCCCAGCCCACCACCACCCAGCCCACCACCACCCAGCCCACCACCACCTAGCCCACCACCACCTAGCCCACCACCACCCAGCCCGCCACCACCCAGCCCACCACCGCCGAGCCCACCGTCGCCGCGCCCACCACCTCCAAACCCACCTCCCCCCAACCCCCCACCCCCACGTCCACCACCACCACCGCCACCACCACCCGGGTCCCCTCCCCCTCGTTCACCAGCACCAAGCCCACCGCCAGCACGCCCACCGCCACGCTCACCACCGCCAAGCCCGCCACCCCCACGGCCACCACCACCACCACCACCCAACCCACCACCACCCAACCCGCCACCACCTAACCCACCACCACCCAACCCGCCACCACCAAGCCCGCCTCCACCCAGTCCCCCTCCCCCACCCAGCCCATCACCGTCAAGCAGGCGCTCCCCACCGCCCAGCCCACCATCACCTAGTCCCCCAGTCCCAAGCTCGCAATTGCGAACCCCGCCTTCCCCGCGACCCCCATCGCCAAGAAGGTCCCCACCCTTGCGGAGCCCACCACCAAGCCCACCACCACCGAGCCCGGCACCACCGCCACCACCACCGATACCACCACCACCGCCACCACCACCACCGCCACCACCACCGCCACCCTGTAACCCAGCCGGTGGGTCCGATATTTGCTAGGCTTTCCTTAATGGGTAGTCATGTGCTTAGGTGTCCGCTGGGGGGAACGAAAGATTGCTAGGTCGATTGAAGGCGAGCATTCGCGAAGAACTGAACAAAAGAAGAACTGAACAAAACTAATGTATTTTTAAATAGGTAAGGTGAATGCTTCCCAAACTGCAGATGATTAACGAAGCGGGCGAACGAAGCGAACGAAGAGAGCGAACGAAGCGTGAACAAACTTCATCATGGACAGAGTATGATGTATCACGACTTTTTACAGAAAAGAGCCGATCAGCGGATGACAAATCCCGTGATACCCAGCTACTACAGAGTAGTAGCTGGCCGCTGAGAAGGCCTCTCAAGATGCTGGTGGAGCCCCTTAGGGATTATTTGTAGACAATACGCGTGCCGTACAACATGTAGTACAGCTGTTACAGGTAGCCCAGGATGGCCCCATCCGAGAAGATCGAAGGATGATGTGTTGGCCGGGACAGTCGCCTCCATGGATGGTTTGGCCAGCAGTGGAGATCCCCCCGCTACAACGACATCCCTCCTTTTATGCTATATCTATCTGCTGGACCACACGAGCAAATGCACATACAGTGCAGAATACAGCATACAGCAGTAGTAATTCTGTGCCAATATGGTACTTTCTGCTTCCTTCACAAAAACAGGACTCGCAACACCTGCAGCTCCCCTGCGCCCCTAAATCATTATTGCCAATGGTTTGTACGCTTTGTACGCAGAGTCGGCTGCCCCATGCACCTCGATGGAAGGCTACACGGTGGCTGGCAATGTAGATCACTATGGAGGTGACATCGAGTGCACACCCAGGGATCTGGAAGCCACCGCTGCCGCCTGCTCTGGCTGCTCTGAATGCGTGGCATTCAACTCTTTCATTAACGACGATGGGCATGTATGGGGATGCACCAAGCGGTTGGCAGGACCTGTAGAATTTGTTGAGGGCATTTGCTTCTACACCAAGCTTGTCGATGGCGCAGGTAATAGGCAAGCAGTGAAGCATCTGCGAGATAACTAATAATAAAGATATCTCCACCATTAAGTTTCCATCATGCAGATAGACACACGATGGCATAAAACTGAGCAGATTATTCTTCACGGCTGTGGCTTGGGTGTATGAATTGGCGGCGACCGCCATGGCCATGACTATGCCGCATACTACACAATGCCACTGTGGTCATTCACGGCAGCATGGCCCCTCATGAATGTTCATGAGGCAACATGACCAGTTTTATGGCAGAAAGAAACCATATAACCACATCCACGACCACGTCATTCCCGAGCTCTAGAGCATACATTTGTACAAGTAGCAAAGCACTAGCTGCTATCGTTGGCAATGTACACAAATGCATATAACGCGACTTGCAACCTATTTACAGCGAGTCGGCAGCGCAAGTGGCGTTGTTTCATACCAATTGAGCAATCTATCGAACCGTACGTCGTGCCGTCGTGCCGCTTGTTTGATTTTGTCCACCGCAGATTCCCAGTCGACACCATGCATTGAGTATTCTGGCTACGCAGTAACGGCTGATGTTGATCACTACGGTGACGACATCACTTGCGAAGAGAGCAGCATGGGTACCAGTGCCCACGCCTGCACGGAGAGCTCGGAGTGCAAGGCTTTTAATATCTGGTACAATGACGATGGCACCTCCGGAACCTGCAGGAAGACAACGGCGGAACCCGTCAGCACATATCCAGGCATCTGCTACTACACAAAACTGGATGATGGTGGCAGTAATTCTGACGCCACTCCAAGCAGTAAGTTAGTAATGAGTGGCAAACCGTGCAATCTCCTCCGTCTTACTGTCGACGTGCGTCATTCCAGCGACACTGACATGTCAGTGTAGCCGGAATGATGCACGGAGGTTGTAAGGAGGGTTCAGGTCCCTTGGCATCTCCCTGAGTACTCTTTGCCTGGTATTACATTGGTGCATTCCACCCTAGCCAGTTAGCCATTGCACCCAGTCTAGGTGGGAGGGTCTGACTTTGCCCTTGCTCGATGTCAGACCATGTAAGATGGGTTATGCTGTTAGGAGGATTCGTAGATTATTGCTAGACCTGCGTTATCCTGTTTCCGGGTGAATCGGCATCAGCTGATCAGCATCTCATGAGGTGCTGATGGCTCGAACAGGTCTATAAAAGTTTTATGGTCACTACTGGTAAGGCACGGACCATAACCCCCGGGAGATCCCGGGATCCAGACTTGTCAGGGTCTGTCAGAGCCGCAAATCCTTCCGGTGGTGGAGGGTATAGCGTCCCTAGTCGATGGACGGTGGTGACCTGGGATAAAGTGATCTTGCGAGCTGACCAGGAATGGAGTTGAGCCGCTGTCGATCCGGCCAATTCCGTTGGATGCCGGTGATGGGTGCGGAACCTGAGCGATCTACTGAGAGCTTGACTAGGGTGACCAGATGAGGGTGCCCCGAAATACCGGGGGAGGCAGGGTTTCGCAGGGTAGCTGCCACGGGTGAAGATATGGCCCCCTGTCCCACACATCATACACACACATACACGCAGATGTACACACACATGCAACCGCGCACATGTACACACATACACGCATACATATGCACATACACATACGTACACACATACACGCATACATACACACATACACATACACACATACACATACACACATACACATACACACATACACACATACACATACACACATACACATACACATACACACATACACATACACACATACACATACATACACACATACACATACATACACACATACACATACATACACACACATACACATACGTACACATAGAGACACGTCGGTAATATTTTTGATCGTCTATAGATACAGTCATCGTCTAATAGACAGGACCAAGAAATAGATCACGCTGGGAAAGACCATCTTCCATATTGTCATTTGGATCCATACTGTCCCGCGCCCCTCTCATACATTTCTAGATATTAACGGGTATGTAATAAGCATGGGGTCTACAAAAGTTACAAGTGCAAGTTCCCGTCACAAGTGTGGGAGCCGCCCGCAAAGGCGGGGGCCCCAGCGGACGGTCAATTGTCATTAGTATGCTGTGGTGCCGAGTAAGGCCGCTGAGCTCTGTCCCGCTCGCTCGCGCCTGGGCTTGAGAAGGCTGAGCCTGACATGCCTGGTCTCCCATAACGACAGCGTGTGTGACGGCGCGACCACAAGCGGGCTGCTGGTCCCTTTGGAACCCCTCAGCACACACAAAGGACTCATCTGCGGGTGGTGTATAAAAAGGGCGGCGAGAGTAGGTACCTGGTAAATGCAAGCAGCAGGAATCGCTCCTTTTCGCGTTACATATCCCTTGCTGTATATATCCTTGACTTATGGTAAAATTACGCTATCACCAATCGCTGCATACAAGATCAGTACATTTCTGCTGAATTCATCCACAGAGTCGCCGGCCTGCTTGGAGGTCTCTGGCTACGAGGTGACCGCTGATGTAGACCACTATGGTGACGACATCCAGTGTGACCAGGTCAGCATGGGGATCGCTGCCAAAGCTTGCTCCAACGACCCCGAGTGCAAGGCATTTAATGTTTGGATCGACGGTGACAACGGCGTTACCAACAGTTGCACTAAGACGGCATCTGGGCCTGTGAGCTCTGGGTCAGGCGTTTGCTTCTACACCAAAAGGACCACAACCGGTGAGCATCCACGCACGCATGCTAAGGCATTGCGATTTAGCTAGGGCCTGTATGTACCGCATTTATTTGTCAACATGTCCAAGTGTAACAAGCTTATGTCCTATCTATAGATCATACAAACCCTGGTGTATTAGATCGGTTTCGTCCCTCAGGGATAGGCTATGTGTTGTACCAGGGCACAATTTATAGACGAAGCAACATTTTACAGACGCGGTCAGGTGCAACTTGACCGGCAGTTCCCAATAATAATGCTACTAGCACGTGCACGTGCGCGCGCGCATGCGTACGTAGTACGTTCTTCCGTTCGTGGAGATGCATGGCCTGTTGTGTACGTTGCTACTGCACCACGATGGCAACGAAGCCTAATATCCTGCTGGATGGCTGTTTCCTCATCCATGCAGATTGCCCACACGTTTTGGGGTACACGGTTGCTGCTGATACGGACGTGGCTGATGGTGGCGATGACCACGGTTGGTGTGAAAACCAGATCGGCGTTGAGACAGCCGTTAGCCGCTGCAACAGCGATGACAAGTGCAGCGCCTTCACTACATCCCTAAGCGATGAGGGCTTTA